TAACAATTTTCACATTTTCAGTGCTGCACAACTCTTTGTACATCCTGTACATAATTGATACATTAAGAGATGGGTCAAGGTACTTCTTTTTACTAGATTGACGAAAATAATGCAATTCTACCGCTGGAAAAGATAGAATCTGGTTTCGTATAAATGTTTCAACATTCTGTCACATTTAATGTGGCCATGAAAAATGCTCTACACACTGTAAGTTTATTTCCATCAACCGTAAGACTATACACACAGGTGTAGTTTTTCCTGGAATTTTCGATACCTCTTGTCCGTTTCTTTGTTTTTTTTTCAATGTGATTATACAGAAATTGACGTTGATCGTCAATGCAGCTCAAATTGTGAAAATCATTATAAACCCTTATTCGGTTTGGCTCGGTAACTAAAGCTGCACATTTATGTTTTGGTTTATTGAGACAAGGAACCGGCAAAAGAGGACGTGAAGGTTTCTCGATTCCCCTATGACCAATGTAAGACTCACTTCTGAGTGATACCTTTTCACGGTCAGAAAAATCCTCAACATCACTTTCCCATGAGCTCTCATTTTCTGACGAACCTGAAGGTTCATAGAGATCCGAAGAAGATCTAGAAACATACGAGTAATCTTCTTCCAGTGTTCCTGGTAAAGCTGGAGGCAGATCAATATGTGAAGAATGGTACCGACCGAATCGGAAGAGTTCTAGGAAAATACAGGACGAAATCGATATTCAGGTCAACTAAAACTATCAGAAGAAGTGTAAAATTAGCTATGAGTCCCAGAGGATGTTCACCGGATCCCTTGTAGCTGTGGATTGGCTTCCGGGAACAGCTCGTATAGCGCCTCAAGTATTCTCCTGTAGTGCTTGTGTTTTGTCCTTAAAAGAAAAAAATAAGAGAAGAGTAAGTAACTTGCTCTTTGAACACAAAAAATGTGTCGCATGGAACATACCACAGAGATAGCAGAATATGATAGAGATGGCACCCACGATATTGCGTTTGAAGAAACACAACTCCTCGATAGGTCTCAGAGTTTCTATAAGAAGGCGATATTAATTCAGAGGCGCAGAAATATTTTCAACCGAAAAGAAGAGAGAATCAACATTAATAAAATATTTCTCTCGTTTCATGTCATTTAATTAACAAATCAAAACAGACACGCCCGCCAATAATGGAATAAATTTGGAGACCCAAACAAATTTATTTGCTATGAGGACAACCGGAACACTTTTTGCGTTCTCATGTCTACCGCAGACATGAACGAAACATCAGGCATAAAAATATGCAGACCACGGCAAACAAACCAGGAAAATATCTTTGATAAAGTGAAAGTTCACTCTGTCTCATTTTCTTAATTTTTCTTAACTTTTTTAATATTGCACTGTGTTGGTATACGTATACTGGAAACCTAACATTCGATAGATGTGAATATCAAAAAAAAAACGGATAAATCGAACGCATAAATAGCAATACTTTCAAATAATTTTTTTTCAATTTGTATACAATTCTGATTTTTTTTTCTATTTATTTCAGATCTATGTTGAAACCCCAGCCACCAACGAAACCTGCGTCGATCGATCTCCTTGCCCAAGCTCCTACAATGGACAACAACTGTTTGGAGAAGCTCGTCAAAAATTTTGTAGACGAGGACAAAGCCAGGATAGCGGCGGCTGCGAGAAACAAAACAGCGCCCTCTATCAACAAAGCAATACCGTCTAGTATACAGTATGCGCTCCAAAAGTTCGAGAAAGGTGGTTCTAGTCAAAAGGCCGGGTTGGGGTTGAGCGGGAGCGGTAGTGTTACTGGTGGCAGTGGTGGATATGCGCGAAAAACGACGACATTACCCGGGCGGAAAGTTGTGAGTGGTGCGAGCGGATATGGCGTGGTGGGTAGTGGTAGTGGTGGGGGAAGTGTTGGAGTAGGTGTCAATAATTCCCCGCCAACAACGAATTCAGTGCAGGTGAGACCAAATGATTGTATATGTATTTTTTTCCAACTTCGGTCATTAATAAGATTGAGGGTATAAACCAATATAGTACACTGTATACACTGTAAATACACTGTATTTCTTCCTTTTCCAGTAATTTTTGATACAGTTATAATGCTATTGATAATGATATATTATGGATTTAGTAACAAATGTAAGAACATCTTGAAGGTTCCTATGCATCATGAAATTGGTGTACAGTCAAATAAACATGTCCATTAGTGCTCTTGGGAATTGTGAAGGCCTTCAAACAAGAATCTCGAAGATCTTTTGCATAAGTTACTCGACTTTGACCTTATCTGGCCATGATTCGATTGCCATCAGCAAGCTGTTTTATAGCGTATTTCATTAAGCTCTTCCTACCTTTAAATTCAAATGAATTAATCTGTGTGTGAGATATCATTGAAACTTGTTATTCGTTTGAAAGACCTATTGACGTCAATATGTGTGCCGATACCATGGGTTATGTTGGCTTTGAGGACCTCTGTGGTTTCTATCTTATTCGTATATACCAGTTCACATCATCTCAACGTGAGATAACTATGTTCTTAAATCGCTCGAGCAGAATATCCAATGTGACATAAGTTGTGTGGCACGTAGCGCCGCGCCGTCCTGTTGAAACATATATCGTTGGTGTCCAGATCGTCCATTTCAAACCAAAAGAAGTTAGTAATCATTGACCTATAGTGCTCGCCGTTAACAGTGATGGCCTGGCCAACGTCGTTAGTGTCAGTTGCCAAATGCTTCAGAGTCCATTCAGAGAAAACACACATCGTTGTCTATGGTCGTTTACCTTCAAGTCCTGGGTCAGTTTAATTTTGTACGGGTGCAGACCCAAGTCACGACGCAAAATTGTGGTCTGCGAAACGCCCAGTTCTTGTGAGCGACGCAAAATCAACTGCCTTCGATTCTCCTGTACACTCTCGCAGACAGCGGCGTGGTATTTCGATTGGTAGATTCGAGTAAATCAAAATAAACTCAGGCGATAACCATGAGGCGGGAAACTGAATTTGGTTACAAGAGTTAGGGTCACGGGAAAAAATCAACTGGCAACCTTGCTGGCAGCCATGTGTCTACTACTTCGGTCTTATAATCAATCAATTAATACTTTATTCACCCGAGACTTTTTTACAGGAATAGAAATCAACATGCACATGTGCAACATGTTAAAGTAGGAGATGAAAAATACAGTGATGAAATATGGAAAAAACGCTATGATGAGCCGAAGAGAGTAGACGTAATACACAGTGCTGCTACTTCATAGTAAAAATGTTTGTTAAACGTACATCAGTAGTTAGTTTCTGCTGATTTCAGAACCTCCCCTACCACTTTTAACCTTGAAATGACCTCTGCATACGTCACACGAAGCAGCCAAGGTGACTTCAACGAGGTGTTTCAAGTTTGACCTTGAACGACCTTGACCTACGTACACGGCGATGCAGACAAGGTGACTTTGGGCTGGTGTTTTAAGTTTAACCTTCATAAACTCTCTATATTTTCGACAAGGTGACCTTGATTTTGAATGAACTCAAGCCAGTTACGCAGGTTCCTTGTTGTTTAGATGACTTTGAACGATAGTTTTGAGCCTTCGAACGACCCTTACCTACAACACACGACAAAAGATAACTTTGAGGTAATGTTTTAAGTTTGACCTTGAATGACTTTCATTGGTCCACACGGCTATTTCGGAGATTCGACTTTGAACGACCTTCAGCCGCATGGACGAAGAAACTTTTGGAGTGCGTTTTTAGTTTCAGTTTGAGTGACCTTCTGCAGTATCGTATGCCTTTGCATAGGAAATATTAGAGGTGGAGTCTTTCAACAGCCAAAACCAAATTGTTGATCAATCAAACAACCTTGAAGAGGTATATAGACTATGTACCTGAAACGATATTTCAGAATCTTTAAATTTTTATGAACAAAACGATTTTTCAAAAATCTTTTGTTTTGAATGAATATGGGTAGTTATTTGAGAATTATCTTAACAAGTATATCCGTTTGTAGTCTTTCCCAAGCCAAAGTTCCTGAACAAGTCCCTGAACGCCCCTTTACCAACAAAGGAAACATTAATGTTCCTCAATTTTAAATATTTTCATTTCAACAAGAACATTGCCCCTCTTAAAGCTGTGAAAACTACTTGGATCGACTAAGGAAACTTAAATTTCTTCGTAATACAAAATTGAAAATATCGAAATTTTTGACCTGCTGAAATGCGTATCCCTGGGGATATCCGGTGTACAAATGGATCGTTACTTCCTTTAGTTCCAATATTTTACAAAGAGAGCATTTTAGTTGTCAAAATTGAAATTACGATGCTATTTAGGGATTGATTTTCGTATTGTTGTTGATCAGGAAGTGGAAATGTAGAAATTTTGAGTTAATCTTTCTATTATTATTGATATTTCACCATGACTGAAGTTGATTGTGTTATTATTGGTAATTAATTGTGGTTGTAGACGGGTTTTTGAATATTAATAAAATAACCACAAGTGACCCTATCGTTTGGGGAAAGTTACTCAAATTCAAGAAATTTTTCCAGATTTGAATGTTTTGAAGGAATATGTGATTATCCAGACCATTTGTTTGAACCGATTATACTCCCTCTATTTGGATGACGACTGCGGCAAGCTCTTGTTCTAAGGATAACCCCAGATGCATAAAGGTCTCAAATTCAATTTACTTCAAAATCATCAATGCATTTCAATTGGAGAAAAAATGGTTTGAAAGAATTGATGAGATATGGACACGTGGACTTGGGACGTTAGTTTGGTTAAAAACTAAATACCCACTGAGTCTCGAAATAAGTTTAGTTTCCACACATGCACATGCTCCACCAAAATACATTCAAATAAACGTCTATAAACTTTTGAATTTTCATTTCTGTCTTTTTCTTTCTGTTCGAAATCATTTTGATGTTTTTTTTAAAAGAAAATAGTGGTGTGTGGAGGCCAATATTTGTTAGTCGTAAGTCGTTAGTTAACCCTTCTGATTCTCGTAAAATACTCGTTTTGGGGTTTGAATAGATTCAAACATGTGGAAAAAAAACTACCATTGAAAAATGTCAAGTCACCCATGGGGTCCACTGACTAAGAGAAATAGTTTTTTTTATTCATTTGAACATTATTCAATATTTTTCTTTCAGTCATCCAGCCCACGTACTATTCACAAACACCGATAACCCACATGTTGTTTTATTTTAGTTTCAGCCATTCTAAATCGAGACCACTCATTTCCTCAATCTTTCCTCTTTCAGTACGTTTACCTTTCGGTTTGTTGTGGTTTTTCTTCGGTTTGTCGTTTGCCAGTATTGTTCAGAATGTAACGTGCAAGTATAGGTGTGTTTTTGACTCACAACGGAAAACTGAGCTTGAAAATAACCATTGTGTTGACACGTTTTTCTCGAAAAGTTCCTAACATTCTTCGGAAAAAGAGTGTGTTGAATTTAGACGATTCTGTCTGATATGTTTACAGGCTCCGAAATGTGACTAACCTTACTTTCATAGGCATGGTTACAAATTGCAATTTGGCGCCCTCTAGTGAATGAAAATTACAAGTGACAGTTAATGATACAGCAGTGATGGAAGTGATGTTTACAGTACTTTTGTTTCGTTGAGTTGTGAAATATAACTTCCCAAATGAAATTAAAGGTGAAATTTAATGAATATATTGCAGGGAAATGGGTGTTTCTTCAGATTAATTCGTTGAGCTAATCGTAAACATACTCATTATAGAAATTGAGGTAATTTACTGATTCAGGATAAACAAATTAATGATTTTCAGGTAATCATGATCCTTATTTTTCAAATAGACCGAACTGATTCTTTCCAGACTTGAATATGGAACTTGATGTGACATAAAACGTTCAGCATGTTTTCGAGAAACAAAATTAAAGAAGCCAATATCCACATAACAGTTGAGATTCTCTCCAGATAATCAAACCACATGAATGATTAAGAAGTAAATGTATTATATCAGTATAAATAGTTTACATCCAAAGATCAAGGCACTATTTGTGATAAAAATGTTTTGAGATTCGATTTGATTATGAATAATAATAATAATAAGCTATTATGTTTAATCAGTGTGAAAGCAGCCACGAGTTCTAGCCATGGATTTGTCGAAGCGAAGCAAGAGATCCGATAAATCAGCGGCTCCCAAAATACGAACCAAATTCGTGCGATTAATAACAAGTATAATAATAAATCCTTCATATCAAAAATTTTCGAGAATATCAAGTCATTAGAAATTGTTGGAATATATACATATACGTTTGAAGAAAATTTATGATTCGTCAAATCCATAGCGCATTGAAATATTTCGTGGATGCAGATTTTTTTTCTTGAAATGCATTCATTTCAGCATACAAAATAAGACCCTTATGTTGAAATATTTTGTCGGCAGAATATCAACCCCCACTCCGAATTAAATAAGTTTCAAAGAAAAGTCTACAACTCTTTCAAATATTGTTTGGATTGGGATTTTTTTCTTTGAATGTATTGATTTTAGCGTACT